TGATTTGAATGGAAAAGGCAAGAGCTTTTTGATTCCTAGCATCTTATTATTTTAGGGGTGAGGGACGGGGGGATGGGAGATGGGGAAAAGGGGGTGTGAACTTCCCTAAAATAAGTTAAGGTAAAAAAATTTTTTCTAAGTTTATTTGAGAGACAGAAAGATTGTGAGTGGGGGGAGGGGTAGAGAGACAGGAAGAGAGAGAGAGAATCCCAAGCAGGCTCTGTGCTGTCAGTACAGAGCCCAATGCAGGGCTCGATCCCACAAACCATGAGATCATGACCTGAGCCGAAATCAAAAGTCAGAGCTTAACTGACTGAGCCACCCACGTGCCCCGTAAAATAAGTCCATTAAAGCTGCAGTTAAAAATCCTTTCTGGCTAAGTCTGCGTGTCTATTTGCCAACTAAAAAACCTTCAGTTAGAAATTTTGCCGTTGGTATTTTGTTTATATTGGATTAGATTATACTAATTACATTGTAAGTATTTGGCCTTTTTAAGAGCTATAATTCAAGTCCAAAAAAGGTACAATGCTCCAGTGCAGACTTGCAAACATCGTATCTCCAATGAACGCATTTGGTGTCCTTCATTATTCTAGTTTTCATAATTCAGTATCTCCTTATGTCATTAAGAGAAAAATAAAATTCATATCAAAAAAATTCACTATTTAGTATATTGCTTATTTAACTTTCCCAACTGTATTGAATATGTTCACTTAAAAATTTTAGGTGCAAAACACTTTTCAAAAATAGTCCTTGTCAGGATAAAAATTACCTTATAAAAATAAATCTTCTCCTACTGCCACATCTAAATTCTCCATCCCTAAAGTTACTGTTTGTTTTTTAAAAACTAAAATGTACCTTTAACTTACAATATTTCAATAGTGTTTTACTTTAATCATAGGCTGTGATAACAAACCAGTAGGCTTATTATTTGAGCCTGTTCCATTATAATTTTCATTCTTGTTATTAGCACCTGATGATTCCAATCATGATTATCTAATAAAATCTTAGTACAAACGGAAAAAAAAGCCAAATTAGTTCAAAGGCTAAAAGCTTCCTAGATCTGATTTCCTCTTCTTTGCAGTTTTTTAAACCCAGCTTCAAATTAAGGCATCACTAAAATAGAGAAAGAAAACAGATGCAAAAAATGAAAAACATCAAAGAACAGAAAAACTAAACGAAGTCTAAATCCTATTCATGGGATTTTTACCATGTCACTGGAATCATTCCCTGAATAGATCAGGAGTGTTCATGCCTCCTTGTTTGCCTCAGTTGCCGGTCTTCTGCTCAGACCTCAGTCCAGGCTCAGCTTAGCCCCTCCATAAACCCCTCCAAGGGTCCTGGGTGTTATCCTAGGAGGGTTACCATTATAGCCCATCTACGAGATTTAGTACCATAGTTCTAGTACTTGGTGCAGGACCCTAGACTCCAGCAGGGATCCTCAGTAAGTACTGAGATATTATCTACATTGCTGAAAAAACAAAACAAAACCCTATAGCTCATCTGTAGCATACACAAAGGAAAACAATCCTTAAGAACAATAACAAGCATCACAAAGCTCAAATTTATCACTGTAACTTCTAGACTAATTTAAGTTCCCAAGAAATTCATGGTTTTTCTCAGTTTCATATTAAGATCAGGGCTAAAAGCCAGACAATGCATTCTTCAGTGACCAACTGCTAAGAAAAATCCCCTTACAGAGAATTATTGTTCTGGTTAAAACATTTTCATTAGCATTAGACTAGTCTAATGAACTCATCTAACTTCTTGATACATGTTTAAAGATTACCATGTACCATACTGTAAATTTACCAACAAATTTTGGCTTCAATGACTACTACTGTTTAAAAGCTAAGTCAGACTATCAAAATTTGTTTTCCTTTGGTCCTATTAAACAAAACTTGTCAACTAGACATCTGTCACTTCTACCACCATCAGAGGCTATAGTCACTCAGTCTAGTGCTCCGGAGCAGGTCCACTGGGCCTTTGCCCCAGCCCTGGGGTACCACATGCTCCTCAGCTCTTTCTGCTTTGGTGAATCTACCCTCCCTTTCTCGTAACAGAACCCAGTTCCGACCTTGCTGTCAAAACTAAGGTGTGGCTCCTAATCCTGATCTCCCAAAGTCAGGACCAACCAGGGATTGGACTCCATTCAACTGAGTCCCTCTCCTTTCTCCCCCATTTGGTCAGAGATAGTCTTTTTTCGATGGTGTATTCCCTTCACTCCTCTTGACAGTTATCCTCACTCTTTCTGTTTTTGGCATACTCCCCCCTTCCAGTTTTTACCATCAAGAATGTACACATTACGTTTCAATTAAATGACCATTTTAAGATATTTAGAATTTTATACATTTGTCCATAAGCAATGAGAAAACACTTCATTTAGACTCTAAAGTTTAAGGTATGCAAGATATTTTTGTATCAATAAAGTATGTAAAGTATCAGTTATTGAACTCAAGGTCTAAGCCCTTGAGCAAGAAAGAAAATGAAAACAATAGTTTTGTTGGTGAACTAGATTTTGGTTTCGGATTTGATTTTTTTAAACACTAGCCATCAACAATGTGTAAGTATAGGTGGACCTCAACCAAAGCAGAGGATGGAGCTATAAATTCTAGTGAAATCTTAAGTGTTTTTGTAAGTAGCTACCAAAAGCAGAATCTCTTTGTTTGTTTGTTTGTTTGGGTAGGAGAGGAACAAACCAGAATACAATTCGAGAATTTGCTAATTGCATACAGCTCCATTAATTGTTTATATCCACATGTGGACAGAAATGCCAGGTAAAAATCAGACCCTGTTACTCCTAAGGGATTCTCCAAATTCTGTGGACACTTTTCTTTGCTGTGCTAGTGTCTGCTAAATTACAGACAGGGTCGTCTTGAACATGTACTTATTTACTCTCTCACATGACATTAGACATCTATAATGGTCAGGATTCAAACCTGCCTTGTGGGAGGGAGAACAGGGATTAAAAACAAATAACCAACGAAGACACTGGAATTTTACTATTTCTATCCCTAAAACTGGGTAGAAAGGGCAAATATTGGCTGAAAGCAAACCAAAAAACCCCACGAATACAAACGGTAGTTAACATTTCTGAAATTCTAGACTTAAGTTCTAAAAGGATGTCAAAATTTAGTCCTATTATATTTAATCATGAAATCAATCACCTCAAAGACAGAAATCCAACTTTTTTACTGAGAAACTGCTTTGTTTTAACAACTGAAAGGCATTTTCCATGTAAATAGATGGACAGAGCTCCACCAATAGAAAAGCAATACTTGAAATTTATGGAGCCCAAAAGAAAGCTAAATATGTTTTAAAGTGTCCCACTCTAATAGATGCCCTACCCATGGGGTTTGGGTCGCACATTTAAATTGTTTAGAATGTAGTGCAGGTTAAAAAATGATTTGCGTTTTTGCAATTATTTTTCTTGCTTTAAATACTGTGGCTAAATGTTTTAACGTCATCTAAATTAGTCTCCTCGTCCTAACTTTGGAAAACCTGTATTTTTTCTTGTCTATCAAGGTCCACATATAGGACAATAAGCTTTCAATGCCAGACATTCTTGCTTTTCAAAAGGAACTATTCCTGGAGCCACAACCTGTGGCCAGCTGTCATAAATAATACACCCACAGAATTTGGGATGTTTCTAAATCCTCTTGCATAACAGCTTTAGGTGGCCGAAAGAGTTAAAAGCTGTCGCTGTCATCCATATTTACTGGACATCAATAGGGTGCCTGACAGTAAGCATTAGCTTTGTTTTCACTAAAACATCCACCAATTAATTATTGATGTTCTTCTGGAAGCACGCTATCACTTCCATGCATTCTTTTCCATTGGTTACAATAAAATATTCTTGCAGAGTAAAGATGAACAGCACCTCCTACTTGAGAAAGACTGTCAATCCACAGTGGACCCTCACTAAAATGCCAAGGGAAGGGGAAAAAAATTCACTGCTAAGTATACAAATTCTTAAGGGAAACTGTCAATCATTCCTTTTTGCAATCCATCCAACAGTTTGCCTCGAGCTCATTAAAAATGCCGTCTAGACTTGTGGAGTCGGCATTCTGCCTTCTACCTGGCAAGCTAGTTGCTGATAATCCACAACAGTGTAAGACAGATTCCATGGGAAACAATGGATGAATGAAAGCTACACCAGAGCTTAATGGTAGAGAAATACTCAGAAACAGGGATTGATTGAGGTCACAGAAAAGACAGGGCAGATTCCCATTATTTTGGCTGATTATGAGCAAGAGCCCTTTGCTTATCCACTTACCCTAAACAAAAAGGCATGAATAAAAACATCAAGTGTATTACAGAGAATGCTGTAAGTAATATGAGGCCGGCTGGTAGGATTTCACAAGCCTGCCCAGCCATCCAGCTCCTAATAAGATAGTGCCCGTGGTTCCTTGCCTTAAGGCAAGGAATGGTGCTCTCGTATTAAAAGCCAGAGATCTTACTGCTGTCTAGGGAGTAAAGACTGGGAATGGAGAAACACAAGTAAGAACGAACCTGGTGCTCCAGAAGTCTCCCGACCTGCTGGTATAAGAGCAGGCACAACACTGTTTCCCTGCCTCCTTTCTACTCCCTCTCCAAAGAGCCATTATCAAGCAGGCTCCAGCACTTCTCAGAATGTCAACGACAGCTTTACTTCCTGGAGAAGGAAGAATCCAAATGCGAATCTTCTAAAACACACGATGGTAATTAAGTTTGGGGGTCACTTTACAGTTCAATTCAATAGACATTTAATTCCAAGAATACCTCATATCTGCAAGAAAGCTTGAAACCATGGTATTTTCTTCTTTTTGATTCTGGTTGACTATAAGCTCTACTCTGCTGCATATGTGTAGATATCTACAAAGGCCATCAGCTTCAAAGGAATAATACCTAATCATCAGGTTAAAATTTCAAGTGTGCAACATTTTCTGCTGTGGAACTGGAAAGTGTTACACACTTCAAACTAACCTACTGGCTAGACATAAGTATTCTTTCCATCTACTTTCTCAATCACTGGAAGGACTTAGACCATTGGGAATACACACTCCTTTCTGATTCTGATATTCTTCTGCAAAAGCCATCGCTTCATACACACTATAAAAGAGAAGGTTTTCTTCTTCCTTTTTGCAATACTCTCCGCAGGCCAGGGAATCCCTCACAGAGGGATTGCACTGAGCCAGCAGAACCTGGATGCCAATGGCTTCATAATCTCTACGAACTTCTTTCAGGGTGTGGATCCCTGCTGTATCTAAAAACTGTATTGCACTGCAGTCAATTACTATGGTATGGAGATCCAAAGGATCATGGGAAAGTTGCAGTGAAACTTCATCCTGGATTCCACTGAAAATCACTGTCTCCTTTGTGATCTTTGTCTTGGCAGCCTTCTTCTGAGCTGCCTTTACTAAGACTGGGTTGAGAGTTTTTTTGTATAAAGCAGATTTAAAACATTCTTTGTTTATGTAGTAGAGAGGGGCTACAAAACGGAATATCTTGACGCCCGGCTTTGTCTGAAGATTCTTGTAAGCAGACATGGATTCAAAGATTTCGGACTCTTCCACCCAGCCAAGCAATGAAATCTTTGGCTTCTGTGTGCGGAGAATGACACAAAACATAGAAAAACAAACCCCAATAAGCAGGCCTATTTCAGTACTTATCAGTGCAGAGGACAGCATAGTGACAAACCAGATAACTGTATCCATTCTGCTAACCTTCCACATTTTGGGTAGATCCTTAAATTTACGTAGGGCTCCCCGGAGATTTACAATAGTGATCACACCAAGGACACTTTTCTGAAGAGAATAGAATAAAGGAGCAATTACCAGGAGGACCAACAAAAGAACCAAAGCTGTCACCACAGCAGAAAGCTGAGTTTGGCAGCCTGTTGATTCTTTAACCAAAGTCTTCGCAAGAGCCGCGCTAGTAGTAAAGCAGTGGAAGAAGGAAGGGATGATATTGCAAAAGCCAATGGCATACATTTCCTGATTAGCTCTGACTGTGTAGCCATGTTTCTTGGCAAACATCTCAGAAAGTGATACAGTGATAGCAAAACCAATGATAGAAATAGCTATTGCGTCTACAGCCAAACTGGGAATTAAGTTCCAGTCCGGTGCTTTGGGTGGCATAAACCCCGTGGGAATATGTCCAGCAATACTGCTATTGTATTTCTCGTGGAGTTTCCCAAAATGAGAAGCTAATGTGGCTGCCACGACGACAATGAGTTCGGTAGGAATTGGTGCCTTAAGCTTGGACTTGAAGTGCTCATTGAGTTCTTTGGTTGGCAAAAGAACCAAAAGGCACAAAAGGCTGGTGATGAGATCACAGATATTGGTCCTATGGATGTTTCTGAAGATATGTATCCAAGTAGTGATGAGCGAGCCCACACCATTACTCCGAGGAAGGCTGAGCCCAAGGAGGTACTTGGCCTGAGATGTAAGAATAGTGAAGGAGGCACCAGTGACAAATCCACTCAGCAAGGCATCTGAGAGGTAGACAGAAACAAAGCCCACTTGAAAGAAGCCCATCGCTACCTGGAAGGAAGGATATACAAGTGTTAAATATAAATGGAAAAGAGCTTCTAAATCCTCTAATATCCTGGCACTGCCTTGCATGGAGACATACATCAGAGCATCACAAAATGTCAGAGGTAGAAAAAAAACACAATCGTATTACATCAGCCCTCTCATTTTACAAAGAGAGGGTTCATTTTACTGACACTCAGAGGGTTGAGCAACTGGTCCAAAGTCCCACTGTTCCTCAGCCTGGATAAGACAAGAACTTAGGATTCCTACCTTCTTGTACAATGTTTCTGAAATGTGAATAAAGTTCAGACCTCAAGAAAACGATTTCCAAGGATCCACAAAAAATTACAAAAACTCAAATTGGAAAAATTCTTCTAATGACAAGGGCATGTATTTCCATTAAATTATAAATCGTTACCATAAAAGTGAAGTTTTAATTAATAAAAAAATTTTGATTCACATCAAAATAGAATCACATTTAAATTATAGAACAGTCTTTAACCTCACGCTGAGAAACTATTCTCATTCAGTGTGTATGTGCTTATGCCAAACTGCTTCCCATATTAATTCTGCATCGTCAAAGATACAACATTTTTACTTCTTTATTTTTTTCCTCTTCCCAATAATTCCTCAGAATTTCCCTGAGCCCTTCCTCATTCTTGGTGAGACATAATAACAAAAAAGCAAAACTGGACCCTGAAGAGCACCACTCTGCACAGCAGCCCCTTCTCTTCCTCTTTCCCAGGCACCAAACTAAGTGAGCTACTCTTCCCTTTCCCATATTGGAACCAGATGCCTATAATGGAGAAGAGGTTTAATGCTGGCATCGACTCCCAGATGCTAAAAGACAGGGGTGTGATGATAATGGTAGGTTTGCGGATTCTATGGGAGACCCAAGGAGAATTTAATTTGTAATCCTTTCTTCTGGCTAATCATATGAAATAGTGGTTCTCAACTTGTTCCCTAGCAGTCCACGGGAAGTGCTGTCTTTAGTGAGAGTCACTTACTAGAGCAACGATTCTAAAGTGGGGTTGGTGGCGGGGCGGGGGGGGGGGGGCATCTATAGTTTGAAACCTTCTGCACTCCTCCCTCTGCCAACCCTCATCCTGTTACCCTCCTCCTGCTTGTTAGTGCTGACTCTGCCAATAAGGAACCACACACAATCTCAAGAAAACCCAGTGTTTCTCAACATGTAAAATTAAGGAGTTGTACTAGGTGATCTGAGGTCCCTTCCTGGTCTACATTTTGCAACCATATAATTACAATCTGGCTGACTGAAATTCACTGGTTCAGAGGCAGCCTAAGGTTGAGGAAAGAGAAGCAGCCTTATCTTCCATGTGGAGTCAAACTATGGTCTGAATTTTGGCTCTATCCCTCACATATCCTAAGCATTCAGTAAATGACAGCTTTAACTACTATGATCTCTGAGATCCCTTACAGATCTGAGATTACATGTACGGTGATTTCTTTTGGTAGAAGCAACCACCCATTCCATTGTTTCTTACCTGATAAACTCCAGCCATAAAGGTCACAGTGCTGCCAACTGCAATTGCATAGCAACTTCTGTCACATATCCAGTCTGATGTCTGGTTTAATAACGTGCTCCCATTTGAAACCATCCCTAAAGAAGGAGCAGTATGGGCAGTGTCATAGCCGGCTTTGTGTAGTTCTCGGTCAACTACCTCACCAATCATAAGGCACAATATTCCAAAAATGCCCACAGAGATGTGACGGGAGGTACCCAATAGGAAGTAAATGATGCTGGCAAAAAAAGAGGTGTACAGACCATAGATAGGTTCTTGGCCAGCCAAGAGGGAATAAGCGATGGATTGGGGTACTAATAAGATGCCCACAATCAAGCCAGACATCACATCCCCTAAAATGTTTTTCTTCAGATCATACTTTGGGAGCCATCGCAAAACAGGAAGGAAACCAAAAATCACATTTTTGGCTTTGGTTGGACTGCACTGGCAAGTCCTCCGCAATTTTTTAATGACAAATTTCTTGAAGTTAGTATTTGATTTCTCTTGAGGCTCCATATGGATCCTACGATAAGGTGTGCATTGATCATTGGCTTCAAACTGCTTGAAGTCAGTACTTGATTCATTTGCAAGCTCCAGAGGGATGTTACACAGAGGGCCGTGTTGGTCATTTCCTTCAGATGAGTCAGTGAGTGACAGATCATGTTGCTCTTTACTTTCCAAAGACATTTCTGGAGATAGATGCTTCAGCCTCCTACCCCAAAGAAAAAACCGGGATTAACTGGTTAAGTAATTCTCAGTGCTCACACATTGTAACAGTCCTACTTGTCATCCATGAGAGTGAAGACGAGTTCAGTTCGGGGGTAGGTGTCTTATATTCACTTTCTTTAGTTAGTTGAGCCTCATATGTCTTGATCAGGGAAAACAAAAACAAACACAAAATATCGACCAAAAATAGCCAAGTCAGAGCAAATAATTGATTGGGTATAGGACTTCCCCAAAGTAAAAACCATCAAGGATTCTTCCCCATCTCTGCCTGGCTTCCCCTGCAGTTTTTCCCTCCAGAAAAGGTATCAGGGTGGCCTGTCTCCTACTATCACTATCTTCTTTCCAGGTTTTTCACCCCCAGGTATACTGCAAAACAGGATCTAGTCTCAAAACTTTGCTGCTACCTGCAAGTCCCTGAAGCAAAGAAGATGGTCTTTTTTTTTCTTTTTGAATACACCATAAACTGTTTACCAGATACTTCACAAATCAGTGTCTTTGTGTTAGCTGTTTGCTTAGCTTAGAATGGCCATCAACCTCTCTGCCCATCAAGATTCTAATCATTTTTACACCCAGTTAAACAACACTACCCTTTCTTTTTTTTTTTTTTCAACGTTTATTTATTTTTTGGGACAGAGAGAGACAGAGCATGAATGGGGGAGGGGCAGAGAGCGAGGGAGACACAGAATCGGAAACAGGCTCCAGGCTCCGAGCCATCAGCCCAGAGCCTGACGCGGGGCTCGAACTCACGGACCGCGAGATCGTGACCTGGCTGAAGTCAGACGCTTAACCGACTGCGCCACCCAGGCGCCCCAACACTACCCTTTCTACAAAGCACCAACCAATCCCCTAGCCCAAGTGAATCACTATACTTCTATATCCCATAGTATTTTTCACTTTCATTATAGCACTAGTAATACTCTTGTGTTAGTTAACTAAGAGTCTCTCCAGCTCTTGGAGGAAAGGATATCTCGCTCATCATTGTAATAACCAACAGGTATATAGTAATTCCGAGATAGTAGGCTTACAAAATGTTTGAATGGATCAAAGAACAAATGAATACACACTTTATGACTGTGGCCAAACAGAGACAAAATATACTAGACAGAAGACTCAGAAAGTTTCCTGTTTTGGAACTGACAGAAAAATACACCCTTGCAAAGTAATCCACATTAATTTTGTTTGGATGAAGGGGCTATAGCTGATCCTCCCAATGAACAAGAGTAAAATAATAGTTACTTGATGGTCTCATTAAGTAGAAAAAGAAGAAAAGAACAGATTTAGATCACAACTTACCCTGAACAAGTCAATCAGATTGGTGGATACACACAGCAGGTCTTCATTCCTCAATGCAACTGGTCTGTAACTCTCTTCTTACTTCCTACTCAGGTCAACCTAGTTTGAGTACATTTCTTAGGTCCTTTTATTTTGGAACAGCTCTTGGTGATTCCTGGGTCAAAGGGCTTTTCCAAACCTAAGATATGCAAAAGAGGCATAAGAAAAAAAGCTAAGAAAATCCAAATCTTGCCCTACACGGCTGCTATCCGGGAAGGAAAAAGATAAAAATTAATACTAGAAAGTACAAGAGTGATGGAAACTATAAGAAATAATTGAATTGAAATACTAAAAGTGAAAAAACACAGTAATAGAGATGAAGAATGCCTCTGACAGGATCATCAACAGACTCGACAGAGCCAAAGAAAGAATCCATGAAATTGAGGATAGGTCAATAGAAATTACCCAAATTTAAAAAGAAAGAGAAAAACAGATTTTTTTTTTTTTTAAATCAGTAACAACAATGTAAGAGAACATCCAAGAGCTATGGAAGATAGTAAACAATCTAACTCATGTGTACTTGGAATCCCAAAAGGAGAGGACAAAGAATGGACAGAAGAAATATTTGAAGACATAATGGCCAAGAATTTGCCCAAATTAAAGACAGACACCAAAGTATAGATCCAAGAATCTCAGAGAATACCAAAAACGACAAATATAGAAAGAAAAACCAAACAAAATCCCACACCTACACATATCATATTCAAGCTGCTGAAAACAAAGATAACAGCCTAAAAACGGCCAAATTAAAAACACACATTACATACAGAGGAATAAAGACAAAAATTACAGTGGACTTATTAGAAACATCGGAAGGTGACTGTGTAATACCTTTATCACAGAAAAATAGCTGTCAACCCAGAATTCTATACCTAGAGAAAATATCTTTTAGAAGATGAAGGAGAAACAAAGACTTTCTCAAACACTAAGAATATCCAGCAGACCAGCACTACCATGTATACATATACCAGACAGAAACTAGGGCTACACAAAACACAACAAAGAAATAAAGTCAAGGAATGGAACAAATGAAAATCAAGTCAAATCCACGTTTTAATTTAAAATATCTTAAACTGCTCTAAAAGGTAAACATCTAAGCGACGGTAGGAATGTATTTGGTTTATAGCATACGCAAAATAAAATGTATAAAAATAGCACAAAAAATGGGTAATTGGGAATTGTAAAGTCTTAAACTAGATGTGAAGTGATTCATTATTATTTGAAGGTAGGCTCTGATTAACGATGTATTTGTAAATCCAAGAGGAACCACTAAATTTTTTGAAAGGCATAAACGGTAAGTTAATTGTGGAGATAAAATGAGATCGTAAAAAATTCTCAATCCAAAAGAAAACAAAAAAAAGAGGGGGGAAAAAGAGACCAAAAGTAGATGGAACACACTGAAAATAGCTGGCAGGATGGTAGAGTTTAAAACAAACATAAAAATAATCACATCAAATGTGAATGTTCTAAACATGCCAATGAAAAGGTAGCAAGTGTCAGATTAGATTAAAAATTAAGGCCCAACTATATGCTATCTATAAGAAACCCACTTTAAATACAGATAGATTATAAAAGTGAAAGGACTTGTCCAATGCAGTAATTTATTTAGCTTGTAAGTGACTGAGTCAGCTAATAAAATCCAGATTTTAGGACTCTAAGTATAGCTCTTTTTGAGCAAGGCACTATTCCTATCACCTATCTAATTAGCTTTCTCTAACCTCAGATAATTCCAAACACTTTAGAATTCAGCTGCTCTACACATCCCAGTTTCACCTACCTGCTACCCCAAATGACCTGGACTGATACCTACAAATGTGTACCCAACTCTCCTTTTACTATACTCTTGGCCGTGGCCCTTTTCTACCTCTAACTCTCAAAAACTTAGGTATTCATTCACAAACAGTCCTAGAAGTAGAACTGATACAGCCATCAGTCTGAATCCAAAAGCCACGTATAGTCTCCTTTATCTATTCTACTCACCTCCTAAAACTCTCAACACTATTTTTTTTCCTTTTTCACACAGATTTTAAAACACAAAGCAACATAAAACTACATTAAAAATTATTTTACACTAAATGGTAGGTGTGACCTTCACACACAGTAAGCTCCTTGAGAGCAAGCTCCAGTCTAATTCATCTTTGTATCCCCCAACATGTCCAGGTATATGCTTTCCAAAATAGGAGCTAAAATATTTGCTAAGCAAATAACTCAAGTACAGGAAAAGTAGAATGCAAAGCAATATTTATTTTCAAGTGGAAATATCTCCTTTGGAACATATTTTTCAAATACCCCTTTTCGCACAAAAATCCTCTCACTTCCTTAAGCCAGTTACTGCTTTCAATTATAGTATTCATCAATTGCTTCATGGAAATTAAGACATGACAGTGTTTATCCTTGGAATAGAGCTTACAGCCAGACTTCCGTTTTAAGGAGGCTGGAGTACAAACTATACTTTCCATGAAGTTCAATAAAACACAAGTCTACCGTATCATCTGGGCCAGTTTCTCTCTTTATTAACATTGATAATCGAGAGTGAGAAAAGGAAAGGTTCAAGAGGAAAATACTTGACCCTTCCACATTACCTTGCAGGAATCACAGGGGAAGAAAAAAACAAAACGTCTGAACAGTGCATTTACCTATGCATACATTAAAGTACAATGGTAGTTTGAGTAACACAAAAAGGAACGACATTTCTTCACTTTATTCTTAAGCTGCACACATGCAGCTGTGACACCTAGAAAGCGGTGTGATCCAGGTGGCAGACAGGCAGCATTGACACAATTCCCGTGTGAATTACTGAGAGGCTAGAGCACTGGACTAGAAGAGAGGTTACATCCTTTCTGTATGAGCCTGATAGCAGTCAGCCAACTTCTTTTTGAAGATTTGGACAGAAGCAAACCAATGTCTGCTGTTGGTAATTACAGCACATACTTTTAACTAACAATGCATGTATAACAGTTCTGTAATTTGTGAAACTGAAGTGCCTTTTCAGAGGACAATCTTTTTCTTTTTAATTTTTATTGTTTTTAATGCTTATTTTTGAGAGAGAGAGAGAGAGAGAGAGAGAGAGAGAGAGAGATTGAGAAGCAGAGAGAGAAGGAGACACAGAATCTGAAGCAGGCTCCAGGCTCCAAGCTGTCAGCACAGAGCCCAACACAGGGCTCGAACCCACAAACCGTGAAATCATGACCTGAGCCGAAGTCGGACACTTCACCGACTGAGCCACCCAGGCGCCCCTTCTAAGCATCATAAGCTAACCACTGTGCTAGACACACTGCCTCAGAATCTAGACCCAAAACCAAGGGGTCAATCTTTCTTTCCTCTAACCTACTAATCGTATATATCATCCGTCAGTAAGTCCTGTCTGTGCTACCTCAAATATGATATCCACCTGCTCCCTACTGTCCAAAGTACCTGAACCTAATCACTTTTCACTCCCCTCCACCATCACATCTTATCTGGGCTACTCTAATGGCCTACAATACCTGAATCCTGCCTACCTCTCTACCCTCATTTCCTACTGGCCTTCTTGCTGTTCTGGAACACGCCAAGTTGATTCCCTTTCTAAGGTCTTTGCACTTGCTCAAGTTCTCTTTGCCTGTAATAATCACTCCCAGACCTTTGCAGGC